GAAAAAGTTCACCAGCTACTCTCGACGAATAGGCTATGCAACCTCTGAGTCCTATCAATGGTATGCTCGGATAATCTCCACATCTGATGAGGACTGGGCCGGGTCGGAACCAAGGGCAAACCTAGGATAATTGGTTGGCGTCCCATTGTTCTAATTCGACCTTCCACTCTAAGCTCAGGCGTCGGCGGAGAGGGATTTTGGAGAAGCTTCTCAAAGGGTTGGGGAACATCCCCATGTGATTAGAGGTGTAGAAATGTGTGATTCCCCACACAAAAAGTAGTGAAGAGCAACATCTAAGTGTTTTTCCTTGCTTCTGGCGACAAAACTCCACCGAGAGCAAGGTGTCGGCAAGAAGTGCAAGCAGGGGACTCTTCGAGTTCACGTCCCAGGCGAAGAAGGCGTCCATGACGGCTTGGTCTACTATGTCGATATGGAAGGGAAACAAGATTGTTCCAAATATGATTACAGCCAGGGTTTTGTTAAAAGCAGCCCATTCTACCCTTTCAGCCAAAGAGGACAGATGACCTTCTAACATTGAGACTTTCCAAACCTGGATGTTCCCTTTTTCTATCAGGGTAGTCTGCCGGAATGACAATCGGATGATGGCAACGACTTGTGCTGCAGAAGTATATGTTTCGTGGCGAATATGGACCTCGGCTAATTTGGGCCATTTTAGCATACGCTCATACTCCTCCAAAGTAGGCACCATATCGAACTGCGGGAATTCAAAGTAGTGCAGACTAGAGTTCCAAAAATAAACTAGAACCCTGACAAAAACGGGATCGACACAGATCTTCAACAGGTCGAGAATTCGTCCATAGGATTTCTCGAAGTCGGAGCGGACCTCCGACGACATTATCGCGCAAAGCCGTTCCAGCTTCTCAGTATGGCACCGGGGAATTTCCACTTTCTTAAATTGTCTACTAGTCCCCTCTGTTTTCTAAAAACCAAAAATGTATGTTTATGAACATGATGCTTATTGTGGGTATGTATTCGAGTGTTTGTTTTTTCCTATTTATCATGTTTTATTTCTGCATGATGTATAATAGTATTTTCGTATTTATTTTCAGAAAAATAAACTACCTATATGGATGATTTATGAATTTAATGTTTATGAACAAGGTCCCATTTATTTTATTCGGGTCTTTATTTGATTTTATTTTGTTTTAGAGCCTTTTATCTCTTCTGTCGAACTGCGTGACTACTTAGCTTACAAAGAACCTAAAGTCAGGCTAGCTAAAAGGCAGACTATTCGAGATAAAATGGCTTATGAAAGAATATTAGCATCCCTTATCTCTTCTGTCGGACTGCATGACTACCTAGCTTGTAAAGAACCTGAAGCCAGACTAGCTAAAAGGTAGACTGTCCGAGATAAGGGTGTTTATTGTAAAAGGTATTTTTCTGGTTTTTTTTGTTGTTTGGTTATGCTATGAAATCAAATGCAACAAACAAATGCACATACAATTCACTCATCACGGAACACGTGAGAAGTCGTTTTAATCACGAGGTAAGGTTTTCCTGCAGAAAAGTGCAGTGGCAAGGGTAGGTTCTAACTGTTCTCACCAAGGCTTAGGCCCCTAAGGTGCCCCCATTATAGGGTCCCCACTCTCCAGCCTTCCGACCATGCTTAGCACTAAGGTCATAGTCAGTCTTTGTGCCAAAAGAGGAAGGTTATCACCTTGAGTGGTGGTTTTCGATCATACCGGTGGGCACATGACCCTCACTACAGCAAATCGTACCTGCCACCCACTCCCTATGGATTTCTCACTTGCCCCAGGGTATAGAGGGAACTGTTGTGTGCAAAGGTTTTTGTACAGTTTTTATTTCAAACAATTGCGTAAAATAAACAAACAACAGTTATTAAAGCCTAGTAATTAAAGCATGTTATAATACAAGGTAGGGTAAAAGCAAAATTTCTTAGTTTATTTATTAAACCGGCCCATCACTAAATGGGATAAACTCTCTAGGCTTCCCCAGTGGAGTCTCCATCTGTCGCTGCCGTAAAAAAGAGGCGGTCGGAGCGACGCGATAGTTCTGACTTTCTGTTTTTCGCGTTTAATTATGGGTGAGGTTACAACGCCTTTAGGTTGTCTGATAACCGGGCTGAACCAAAGGGCGATGTTTTTTTGAAAGGGTGTTCTTAGGTTGTCCGATAACCGGGATAACCTAAGAACAAGTTTGAAAGGGTTCTTATGGAGTCGTCACCGATGTTTTTACCAGAAACATCGAAAAAGGAGGGAAAAAGGTGTTGGTTTTTTTTTGAAAACCAACTTTGGTCGTTAAAACCAGAGTTGGGTAAGGGAGTTAGTTACGTGTAAGGGAGGTATCAGCTCCCTTACGACGCCCCTTTCGCGTTCCCTATGATAGGCCAGTTATTTTATAAATAAACTTTTAAAATAACGCTTTTACCCTTTTATTTGTAGAATTAAAAATAGTGATTACATGGCACTAATAGCTATTGCACAATTTAATATAAGTAAAAAGGACAGTAAAAGAGAGGGAGAGAATGAAGAAATCTCCAGAGAAAGCTTTTGATTAAATTTCTTGAAAAATAGGGTGCGTTTTGGCAGCCCTTCGCTCTTACAATGTTGAATTCTCTCTCGAAAACGCTATAAAAAGCTTTCTTAAACACTCAGAAACTCCGGAAATGCTTCGGAGGGGCTCTAAGAGAATAATTTTGAGAAAGTGCAGGAGGACCCTATTCATAGGGATTCGCGTCTGTTAGGTCGAGACGGCGGTCTCGACTTTGATAAGTGGCGAGACGATGGTCTCGACTTGCCAAATGGCAAGAGGGCCATCTCGCTAAACGGGAGGGGGGTCTCGCCAATGGTAAGTGGCGAGACGGCTGTCTCGTCAAACGAGACGGCCGTCTCGACCCCTAAAGGTAGGAATCCTTATGTTTTGTACAAGAAAGCCTTCCTACTCTAATATGGGGCTTAATAGTCTCTCCTAGTGGTTTTTTAGACTTTGTCCATCTTCGAATAGGAGGTGTTCTGCTCTTATTTTGAGGTCGGACAAGATTTGGGGTCTACAATAAAGGAAATCAATTCAAACCAAACACTCTTAGAGTCACCCAAAGCTTGTAATTTCCCCCATAATTACACTACATTTAAAATAAGAAACCAAAACATTTACAGGACAAAATAACAAAATAAGGAATGAACAAACAAACTCAACTATGAACAAGTGCATCTTGCCGCAACTTATGATAATTTGACATCACAACAACATAGTCCGAATAGGACCCACAATCCTTAATAACAGTCCAAAACGGCCCACAAGAAAAAAAAAAAACCCCAACTCAATCCAAATCCCAGACAGAAGCAATCAATAGTCGAGAACGATAAACTTAACATCAGGTTTCCCCACAGATGCTAGCAATCAAATAGAAGTAAAACCACAAACAACAAAATGCAAAGAAAACGAACTTTGTACCCAATAATATCTCTGGTTTTGATTTCCACCTGTATATATATATATACTATAGTATTGATCTTTTAAATAAATAGAAAAAAAAAGAAAAGGTTTTTCCTTGGTTTAAATGGAGGGGGTGTCACCGCCGTCAAAACGAGGCGGTCGGAGCGACGCGATGGTTTCGAATTTTCGCATTTTTATTAGTATAGTTACAACGCCTTTAGGTTCTCTGATAACTGGGCTGAACCTAGGGGCGAGGTTTTCGAAAAGGTGTTCTTGGATTGTCCGATGACCGGGCTAACCCAAGAACTAATTTTGAAGGGTTCTTCTGGAGTCGCCACCGATGTTTTTACCGGAAACATCGGAAAAGGAGTGAAAAAGGCGTTGGTTTTCGAAAAACCAACTTTGGTCATTAGAACCAGAGTTGGGTAAGGGAGTTAGTTACGTGTAAGGGAAGTGTTAGTTCCCTTACGACGCCCCTTTCGGGTTCCCTATGATAGGCCAGCTATATTAAATAATTAAACCGGTGAAAATACGTTTTTACCCTTTATTTTGCGGAATTTAAAAATTATGACTACATGGCCCTAGTATCTATTGCATAATTAAAAATAAAGCGGTAAAGGAGAGAGAGAGAGTGTGGAAACCTCCGAGGCAAGCTTTCTATTAATTCTTTAATAATTTGGGTGCTTTTTGGCAGCCCTTCGCTCTTTACAACTTCGGAAGCTCTCGAAAACGCTATAAAAAGCTCTAGAAAACTCTCAGAAACTTCGGAAATGCTTCAGAGGGGTTCGAGAAAGAGAATTTGAAGGGATTTCTAGAGAGAGAATGGAAAAACTATGTGAATGAGGGGAATGGCGCAACTATTTATAGGGATTCGCGCCTGTCAGGTCGAGACGGGTCGTCTTGCCTGTCAAGGTCGAGACGATCGTCTCGCCAATCGAGACGACCGTCTCGCCTTGCAGGAATGGCGAGACGGCCGTCTCGCCAAATGAGACGGCCGTCTCGCCATCCACGAGTGGCGAAACGACCGTCTCGCCAAACGAGACAGCGGTCTCGCCACCTTCGCAAGACGAGACGGCGATCTCGACCCTAAAGGGCGAAAATCCTTATTTACATGCCAAAAATCCCTCCTATCCTAATATGGGGCCTAATAGTCTCTCTTAGTGGCTTCTTAGGCTTCATCCATCTTCGAAAAGGAGGTCTTCTGGTCTTTATTATGAGGCCGGGCAAGATTTGGGGTCTATAGGGGGGACGACACACAGAGGGGGAGCTCTTCTCTGATTTCTTTTTCCTTTCTAATTTTCCAGCCACTCTCCCTTGCTTCCCATTTTTTACCTTAGCCCTAGCTCCATTTCCAATCGGCTCCTCCATTACCTTTCCTCATCATTACTCCCTTTCGCAGAAGCCACCCCCATTGCACCCATCACCTCACTCTCCATCCACCCTCACCTCAACACCCATAACCCATGGATCCTCGTGCCTCACCTCAGGACCCATGACCCATGTATCCCCATTGCAGCCCACACCCAGCACCACCATAGCCCTCACCGCTGCCAGCTAGCACCCAAATCTTCCTCCCTTTTTTTTTATGCTTCACCTATAGTCATAGTGAACAGCTGCTCGGGGTCACTATGGTCGAACCACCACCGGGCCACCGCGCCTGACCCCTCACCGCCACTAACCCTACACCATCGAACCAGCCGCGACATGGCCAGCCGCCTTGAGTTGCTACGGTTTCGCCACCTCTCCCTAGCCACCACCGTGGCACCCTAACCAAACCCGCTTCTCCCCTCACCGGAGTCGAACCCCCAAATCACCCTACCACGCCTTCGCCTTTTCCACCCTTCCTTCCTCTGCATTGCAAACTCCACTCTCACAGTCTCCACCCTCAACCCTAGCACCACGCGGCGCAACCCCCATTGCGGCCCATACCTGTCAGCACCACCGTGAGCCACCGCACCTCACCAATCGGCCACTGCAAGCCAGATTCACGCCCAGTTGCGCCAAGCACTCACTGGTTACCCTCAACGAAGTAGCGCACCACCGCGGAGCCCTGGCCACAACTCGCCCCACGCTGGCCACTGTGAATCATCCTAGTCTCACTTTGTCGCACCACTATTGACCGAAAAGGGGATGGCTGAATGCCTCTCCCTATGAATCGTCGGGCAACGTGAAGCCTGTGGAGGAGATCAAGTGTCTCTCAAGTTTGCTCCTCTCTGATTTCTGCCTTTGTCTATTGTATGTTTGTGCATCTCTGTCTAGGATCATTTGTTTGCTCTATCGTTTCCTTCTTGGTCTTGTTTGAAAGAGGAGTTGACGGGGATCTCGGGTGGAAATCGAAACTAGAGACATTATTTGAATGAGGAGTTGACAAAAACAAATATTTTTTTATCATAAAATAATTATATTACTAAATTATTTAATAAGTTAGTAAACTATTTTTTTAAAATTTTTATAATGTTATTAAAAATGTTATCAATTATTTTAAATTATTAAGTAGATTTATATTTAATATATTGTTAAAATATTTAAAAAAAATATTTATATAATTGAAAAAAAATCATAAATTTAGAGATTATTTGTTTAGTGATTGAAATTTTAGTTTCTAAATCAGTCACTAAATATAAAAAGAGAAATCACTCACTAAATATAGAAAGAGAAATCGAGTCACACATTCGAGTTATTATTAGCAACTGAATTTTTTGGTCACTAATTTCGGTCACTATTAACCATTTTTCTAATAATGACCGAATTAGTGACCGAATCAGTGACTGATTCGGTGACCGAATCAGTGACCGATTCGGTGACCGATTTTCGTGACTGAAATGTTAGTCACTAAATATAAAAAGGGAAATCGGTCACTAATTCAGTTACTATCAATAAATGAATTTTTCGGTCACTAATTTCATTCACTATTAATCATTTTTCTAGTAGTGTCACAAGTGCTCTGAACATCTGATACATTGTGATCATCATGAGAAACAAATGTGCCTTGAGTTTGAGGGTTAGATGCTTGAAGACTTTGTGGGGAAGGTGTCTCATGTGGGGATTGTGGTCCTAATGGTGGAGTAGTTAATGGAAGAAATTTAGAACTTCCTCCAAGTGGTGGAGTACGACTAATGTGTGGTCCAACAAAAGGAAATTCAGTAGACTTATTTTGTACTGAAGGGGTAGAACTAACATGTTCTTTAATAGTTCCAACTAATGGATGTGCAACTTGTGGTCCAACCATGTTATTTCTTGGTAATTGATTGAATTGATACTTCATCAAATGAATTTTTAAAATAAGCTTGGTTTTTCTTTTGTCTGACATTTACACATGTAACAAAAAAGAACAAAATTGTGTAAGCAAATTGCATATATTTAATAAGTAATAGTAATGAATTAAACGATAACATATTTACTGTCGTTGCCGTCAAAAGAGGCGGTTGGAGCGGCGCGATGGTTTTCATTGTCTCACGTTTTTTAAAGATGGTCAACATTCTTAAGATGTCTGATAACCGAACTGATCTTAAGAATGAGGTTTTTGAAAAGAGGTTCTATAGAGTCGCCACCAGTGTTTTGACCTTAAATACTGAAAAAGGTAAAAAGGCAGTGGTTTTAAAAAAAAAAAAAAACCCAACTTTGGTCATTATAACCAAAATCGGGTAAGAGAGTTAATTACATGTGGGCAAGGTGTTAGCACCCCACAATGCCCCTTTTGGGTTAAAAACTAAAAAATTACGCTTTTATCCTTATTTATTTGTTTTGCTTATAAAAAATTAAATATCTACATGGCTCTAATACTTAATAAACATACAAAGAAAGCGATAAAGAAACCGATAAAAGAGTATGTTGAAGAAACCTTTGAGACAAGCTTTGTATTAATTTCTCAAGTTTGAGGAAGCTTTTTGGCTATCCCCTCTCTTTACAGCAATGCTCACTCTTCTACTAACATAAAGACTCTAAAGGGTGTCTGAAAATAACACTCGAACTCTGGAAATGCTTTAAAGAGGTTTAAGAAGAGTATAGAAGGATTAATTTCTAGTCAAAATTTTTTCTAAATGAGGAGAAGGAGACCCCTATTTATAGGAATTCGTACCTGTCAATCCAGGATGGCCGTCTCGCCACTTTGGAGTCGAGATGGCCGTCTCGCCCCTTTGGAGTCGAGACGGCCGTCTCGCCAAGTGGCGAGATGGTGGTCTCGTCTTATAAGTGGCAAGATTGCCGTCTCGCCTTTGCAAGGCGAGACGACCGTCTGGCCAATTGGGATGGCTGTCTTGGGCTTTTGTGCAGGATTTCTCTTATTTTTTTTCTTATTTTCTGTATACAGGAAGCCCTCCTATCCTAATTATGGAGCCTAAAGGCTTGCCTATCTTATAATGGAGGTCTTCTGGCTTTATTGTGAGACCGGGCAAGATTTGGGGTCTACATTTACTGAAATGTTTGAAACAAAAAAATAATAATTTGATGGGAACATTATTAACTGTACTTATAATTATTAAATACTCACCAAAATGAAAATACAAAAATCAGTCATCATCGTCATCATTATCATTATAATCATCATCATTGGCATTAACATCACTTTCTTCATCAAAATTATATGACTCATCAACATTCTGATCATCATCATCAGAGTTGTAATCATCATTAAATTCACTTTCCTCATCATACTATTTTTCATTGATTTCTGCATCTTCCACATTATATTCATTGTGTTCATTTCCATCAAGTAATTCATTCTCTACTAGTTCTTCATCTTCACCTTCATTGTCTCTTAATTAACCAAGTACTTCATCATTTTACACAAGTTGAGTATTAGAAAGACCATGTTGATAGGCAACCTCTAGTGTATATTGATCATCAACCATACTTCTTGGTTTGGTTTTAATTACAACCCACCAACCTACCTTTTCCTTAACCTTTTCAGGATAAGGCATATAATATACTTGAATTTCATTTGATGCAAGTATGAAAGGATCATAATTCAAATACCTTCTACGATGATGGACCTCCACTATACCATATTCCTCGTGAACTCATACACTACGATTCCTTTTAGAATCAAACCATTGGCAATTGAATACAACTAATTCTTTTGTTGGCTCTCCTATATATTCAAGTTGTATAATCTCTTTGATGATACCATAATAATAGTTTTCTTCATTTTCAATATCATCCCCTTTAACACAAACTCTACAATTGACAGTTTTCTTTCCACTGTTCCAGTCTTCCGTATGAAACTTGAAACCCTTGACAAAATAAATAGGCCATGTAAAAACCTTTTTTCGTGGACCTCATGCTAAGGCATGTAAAAATTGACTTTGAATCATATTATTCCTATCGTGAACCTAAACGAATGATAAACATAGTATGAATGAATAGGGTTTAGGGTTGAACATAAATTATTCTTATGATTGATTTACAAAATATTTTTAAAACTTACATATGTTTGAAACCATGTAGGAAAATTGGAAGCAATCCGAGCCTCAATTTCTTTTCAAGTGATGTTTGGATTCATTACTTCTAGAAATTGTTCAAATATTCTAACATTTACACATAACATTGTGTTAGTGGTTTTATGCATGAAAAATGCATACCAAAATGAATTTTGGTGCTTACTTGGTTGAACTTCTTCACAATTAAGTAACACATGCAAATGTGCAGCTTCTAATTCTTTCTTATTTAAGTATCGACATGAAGATCTTCCACTAAAGCAACCAGGATGATTAAAAATTATTGATACACAATCTAGTTTTACATTTTCACCTCCATTATCATTGCAGTTGACTTTATTTCTCATTGTTTACACATGAGTCTCAAAATAATATGAACAAAACTGAGAAGTCTCTTGCACTAGATATACCTCACATATTGAACCTTCCACACATGCCTTATTCTTAACTATTTTTTTAACTGATTCAAGTACCTAATACAAGACCATCATATGGTTATTATAATTTCAAATAAGACAAGTATGCATGTTCAAATTTAATAATTAAAAGTAGTACCTCTCAAATGGATACATCCACCGATATTGAACAGGACCTCCTACTCCTGCTTTGTAAGGCAAATGAATAGGTAAGTGTTTCATTGAATTGAAGAATGCAGGTGGAAAGAATCGTTCCAATTTACATAATGTAATTGCAATATTTTATTCCATTAATAACAAATCATCCACTCACAAAATAGTTGAACATAGATCTTTGAAGAATTTACTTAACTCAGCAATTGGTTTCCAAATTTGATTTGACAGTCCACTAAAAGCAATAGGCATTAACTGCTCCATAAATATATGACAATCATGACTTTTCATTCCAATCATTTTTCCTTGCTCTATGTTTACACATCTTTGCAAATTTGAGGTATAACCATCAGGCATTCTCAACTCATTAATCCATTTATATACAACACTTTTTTTCTCCTTAGATAAGACAAATTGTGCTTTAGGCTTTATAACTTTTCCATTAGGTAATTGTTGCAATTCTAATTCCTTTCTCCGACAATACTTTTTTACATCTATTCTTGCCTTCATATAATCTTTAGTCTTATCTTTGATATCCATCACTGTATTAAACACATTATCAAACACATTTTTCTCAATATGCATGACATCAAGATTATGCCTTAACATGTTGGAATTCCAATATGGTAACTCCCAAAAAATGCTTTGTTTTATCCAATTATAATATACATCAAAACCATAACATGTAAATTGTACTTCCTTAGTTACTTTTGAAAAATAAGAAAATTGCTCCCACACATTATCCCTAGAAAATATCAATGGAGGTTGAGAATCTTCAATTTGATTCTTTAAAAATGTATTCTTATTTCTTCGATATTCATGATTCATAGGTAAAAATTGACGATGACAATCAAACCAAGAAAACTTACGATCACTATCCAACCAAAAGCTCTTTGAATTATTCATACAATATGGGCAAGCCAATCTTCCAACTGTAATCCAATCATACAACATACCATATGCAGGAAAATCATTAACAGTCCACATCAATGCAGCTTTCATCATAACATTTTGTTTTTTGGAAATGTCATATGTCAACACACCTTCATTCCACAATATTTTTAACCCTTCTATCTAAGGTTTCA